AGTGGATTCCATAGGTGAACGCGCCTTCAAAGGCTGCCACTCCTTGCAAGAGATTATGCTCCCAAATTCAATCAGAAATCTCAGCAAGGGGGCTTTCATGGAGTGCACGGCATTAGCTGAAGTGAAGATGGTGGACCCCAACATTCCAGATTTTGTGACTGACATTGGAGTTTCTGCCTTCGAGAACTGCAGCTCTTTGAAGAGAATGACCTTTTCCCATGCCGTCACTTGCATAGGAGAATGTGCCTTTAGCGACTGCAGTGCTTTGAGAGAGGTGAGGCTTCCCAATTCAGTGGATTCCATAGGTGAACGTGCCTTCAAAGGCTGCCACTCCTTGCGAGAAATTGTACTCCCAGATTCAATCAGAAATCTCAACGAGGGTGCTTTCATGGACTGCACAGGTGAGGCTGAAGTGAAGATGGCGGAAGTAAACATCCTGGACTTTGAGACGAACGTTAGAGCTTTTGCATTCATGAATTGCACCTCGTTGATGAAATTCACAATGTCCAACACTATGACTCGTGTTGATCAAAGGGCCTTCAAGAACTGCAGATCATTGGCGTTTGTGAGGCTGAACTCTGTTGGCATTGCAGGTGATGCCTTTGAAAACTGCATCTCATTCCGAATGAAGTTGACGATTCCCACATGTGTGACTCACATTGAAGACGGTGCCTTCAAGAACTGCGCATTCTTGGAAGAGTTGACTATCCCCACCTCTGTGACTTCAATAGGAGAAAGCGCATTTCAGAACTGTGGGGGATTAAGAGAAGTAAGGCTTCCCAATTCAGTGGATTCCATAGGTGAACGCGCCTTCAAGGACTGTAGCAAGCTGGCACAACTGACTATTCCCACATTTGTGAGCAGCACTGGAGCTTTTGCCTTCGAGAATTGCAGTTCATTGACACAATTGACAATTTCCAACGGTATGAGTTCCATAGGAGAAGGTACCTTCCAGAACTGTGGCGCATTAACAGCAGTGAGGATTCCCAATTCGGTGACTTGCATTCAAGGGAGTGCCTTCAAACTTTGCCGCTCTTTGCAGGAGATTATACTCCCAGATTCGATCAGAATAGTCAGTGGGAGAACCTTCCAGGGCTGCGCAGCATTGTCTGAAGTAAAGATTCCGAACTCTGTGACTACCATTGGAGCTTTTGCTTTCGCAGACTGCAGTAGGCTAGCAGAATTGGCTTTTCCCGGCTCTTTAATTCTCATTGAAGCCAGTGCCTTCAAGAACTGTAGCTTGCTTTCAGAGTTGACGATTCCCAACTCCGTCACTCGCATTGGCGCTGGTGCCTTCCAAGGCTGTCGCTCCTTACACAAAGCCAGACTTCCAGAGTCCATCACTCTGGGGGCCGATTCCTTTCCAGCGTTGACCAAGTTGAATCGTTTCACTCCCGCTTAAAGCATCATTTGTGGGCTTGTCACAAAATGGCGCTGTTAAAGTTAAGTTGGAGGGGAGGGGACTTGGATCCCTGAGTGCTTTAGGTCCTTCAGGTTTCCTCATCATTGGAGGCGCTGGCCCTCAAGTTTTTCTGCTGATTGCATTGCGAAGGTACAGGTAAAGAATGTGTACGTCACCGGTAATACAACAAGAACAAAAGTTCAGCACCGGTCGAATTCTTTTCACAGTAGTGTACTTGAAGCCCCTGGTTGTGGGTTGTGGGTGCTCATAATTATTATTGGGAGTTTCTGGAGTCAGTAGTCGTTTTATCCTTATCAATTTGAGCGTTCCCCCAAAGGACAAGAATGCCTATATAAGCAAAAAACAGACGCCCTTACCCAAAACGGGCAGAAAGGTCTGCTCCAGAAGAAGGTCTATAGAATAGGTATTGTAATATAGAGATTTCACATCTTTAAACAATCTTGTGGTTGGATTGGGGGTCCCAGCCACCCAAGAATTGGCCACTTATATAGACGATTGGAGCGGACCACAGATCAGACGCCATGCCGCAGGCGCCGGATGAGTTGACAGAGGCGTGCGATGAGATGAACCTTCGAAGTTGACTGAATCTCCGTGGTGCCCAGTCATCAAAAATGACAGCTAAAGGACTTGAAACTAATGAGACTTGAGGTTCCCTTTGTCCATGATGGAGCCTGAGACATTGAAGCTTACACAGATTGGTCGGGAACATGGTCAGTTTTCTTCTGAGAGTCTGAGATCCCTTCGGAAGGCAATGATTGTAAACTTCGAATGTCACGGAAATGTCGCACTAATACAGTACTCAGTAAATATACGCGCACACCTTTCATCACGTTTTCCATGGGCTCATCCTCAATAATTTTGTGCTGTTCACCGGACTTCAAGGAACGATTCGCAACCAGAGAAGGGTTCCAGATGTGGCCTAATGTCCTACAGTGACTAGTCGAACATCTCAGAGCACAGCGGTGTTGCATCAGGATTCATAGATGTGTATACTGTACATATACATACACACAATATATATATATATCCTAGACATTATATATATATTATATATATATATATTTGTGTTAAGATTATTTTATAAAGTATTATGCAGTTTATGTAGTTTTCCTTAAGAGTTCCCAGCATTTGCTACGGAAACCACTCTACGGAGCAGGGGCCCTGACACGGTCAACACGATGACCTCATCGGCTCACAGGGACGACTCGATGACCACGACCAGACCTTGATGACCTTTGCGGAGCAGCGTGAGGACGCACCAATCGACTCAGCCAGACCCGGACAGATGCTGTTGTTGGGCTTCACGGACGTTTTCTTGGGGCTGGGCCTGGGGTTCTCGGTCTTCTAGCGACAGGGACGTACTGTCACTTCCGCTGGTAGAGTGGTGGATGACCAATGCCTAGGATTTGTTAACTTCTGGTTTGGTCAGTTTGGTCTAAGAGGCCCCATGTGGACAGATTAGAATGGAGGAACCGGGAAGAATTAAATATTCACCAGAAGGATCCAGAAGGGGATTTACCCATAAAGAAAATAACAAAATCACATGAAGCAACACCCAGGAATATGTTGCGATTTGTTTTGTACAAGACACTGTATTGGCCTCCAGACATATTGTAAGGGCTTCGCCCGGGTGCCGCCGACCCCTTTTCAAGAGGAGTGTAGCAGGTGCAGACAGTTGCAGTGAGCATTCCACGTTTCAGCCGCGAAGCTGGAAAACAGGACAGAATTCCGCCTATGCGCAACGCAATAGATCAATTCAATTGTTCTTATATATAGACTCTGTAGTCAGAAAACTTGGCTCAGGTTTTTGTAATGAGGCATGTATTGTGTAGGGGAAAACGCCTCTGGAACAAAAAAACCCAGATGCAGACGGCGCAAGCCATCCTAGGCAAAAATCGTGACAAGGAATGGGAAAGTACTACTCGGGGATTGGTTTGGCGCCATCTACTTTTACAATCCGTTTCGTGAAAGAACGCCATAAAATTTTTGGCCCTGAAAGCAGCAAGCTGCGCCATCTACTTGGCAGTATCTATTGGCTCAGCTATCCTAATCATGTTTCACACAAGTGTTGTGCCATCTACGGGGCTATTATCGTGCAGCGTTCTGTTACTGTTTCAAGTGCAAGTGCAAGGAAAGGGAAAGGTGAAGGGAAAGGCAAGGGAAGGATAGAGAAAGGCGAAGTGAATGAAGGAAAGGAAAGAAGAGAAAGGCATCCAAGGAGAGGGAAAGGAGACATTAAGGAATGGATAGCAAAGGAGAAAGGAAGAGAAGGAGAGAGAGAGAGAGAGAGATAGAATATGAAAGAAGGAGAGAGAAAGACAGTTCAAAGAGAAGAACATGAAAAACAGTTGGAATTTAACAGAGAGGTTGTCTACAAAAATCAACGACTTATATCAGTGTTCTTTGCAGAAGATGGCGCAAGTCTACTCTGTGAATGGGTGGAATGCCATCTATTATGCTTGAGGATGCATAGGTATATATCTTGTTTTCCACGGTTTGCCGCGTGCGCTTTTGGCACTTTCTGGTGCCATCGATTCGTTTCCGGATATAGCCATCTAGTCTGAACAAGGTGTATATATATCAGTGAAGTAATTATGCACCTATTTCTATATACCCATATAAGGCTTGGGGGACCCTATTCTGACGCATGATGACGCATGTGGGCGTGTATGCGTTAGACCGTTCCCTTTTTGTGGTAGCCTTTTGGCACAAGTAGCCCTCGTCAAACCCACACATGATACTATCACCAAGACATTCATAAGCAACTTGACGTTCCTGGTGAGTGCGTGTTCCTGCCATGTTGCCTGGATGACGGCTCACACGAAGCAGCCGCCCGGAAGATCCTGACCTGTTGGGGGTGGGTTTGGGAGGTTGTCTGAACTGTCCGGGAGGAGCTCTGAGAGTGTGAGTGAAGGCCCAATGTCATCCGGTTGGTGGAGTGAGCTTGAAGCTGTTCTGAAGGTGCTGCCGTTGCGTTCTCGCGGGGCACATAGGCAAGAAGAAGAGAGTGGTTCCTGACGCCCGTTTTGGATGTATGAGTTCAATATCGATGGTGACTGGGGGCAGAAAGGTGGTGGTGTCGTGAGCAGGTCTCAGAACGCCTTTGAGTGAGTGCGCAGTGTCTTTCTAGCTCAACTATCACATGAGCAGTCACAAACCTCACCTCTGTGCACCAGTGGTCCTTAGCATTCACACTCCTTCAATCCCCACTGGACGAGCCAAACCCAGACCCCCGTAGCCTGTCGGGGAGACCGCGTGGAGGTCGGGGGGGGCTGCTCCACCTTTTGGGCCCCGTGGTGGGTGAGGTGGGGCTACGAGTCACCAAGGCTTTCGTCTGCCTTGGGCGGTGACGAGAAGGTGGACTAGGTGGGAATTGGGTGGAGCAGGTGGTTCTGAGCGGTGAGGTTGGGGAACGAGGTCTTTGCTCCGGTGAAGCAAAGCCAGCATTCGAAACGGCCGTGGTTGCACACATCTTTGGAGCTCAATACTATCACAGAGCTCGGTCTGGTGATTTCATGGAGGCACTTGCCAGAATGTTGAGAATTGCTGAAGGTGGGAGACTTCCTTGTCTAGATTTACCTGGTTTGGCTTTTTCATGGAGCTGGGAGGTTGAAGCTCCCATGCCAAAGAGGGGTTTTCTCTATAAATGGTCCAGTAGTGCGTTGACCACAGAAAAGAAGACGCAAGCCACCCCGACAGCCGCGCAGACGACACTCGCACCGCCGGCAAAGTTGGCTGGACAGACGGCCGCCGAGGACATCTTCCATTATGCGTGTCCTTTTTGTGAGGTGTCTGTCACCAGCACTGTGCGCACAGGCCAAGTAAATCACCGCCGTGTGTGCGGGAAGTTTTTTCGTGTCAAAGACGGACACGTTGCCGCGAAGAACTTAGTCTATGCGTGTCCATTTTGCAATGGAACTGTGGCAAGTAACGTGAGGACAGGGCAGATAGATCACCGAACCGTGTGCGGCAACCAGTTCTGTGTGAAAGAAGGCACGGTTAGCACGCAGACGCGGCAGCATCCGCACACATGCCCAGCGTGCCAGACTGTGGTCTGGTCATCACAGTTGTTTGGGCGCGTTCGGTGCCAACACAACACGCCAGCGGGAAAACCATGCCCGAAAAACACGTGGCAAGTTCAAGAGCGCAAGCACGAAACAAAGAAATAGAGTATAGACCAATCATCCGGAAGCCACGCAACCACCGGGCAAACGGGAGCCGCGCCAGGCTGTGTTGCAGGACTAGGCCAAAGGTGCCGGGAAGGGTTTGACGGTGCCTGGAGGACCCCAAAGAAACGAGGTGCAGGCCGAGGTGGCAGGTTCCAGAGGTCAGTTCTAAGGCTGCAGTGTACGGTTCCAGAGGGTTTCGCGCTGGGGAGGGTTTGAACGCTGCGGAGGGCAGGCCTGCTGCCGAGAAGAGGGCAACGCTGCGGTGCAGGAGTAGGCCAAAGGCGCTGCCGAGGGTTTGAAGGCGCTGCAGAGGGTTTGAAGGCGCTGGGGAGGGTTTGAAGGCAGTCCAAAATGTCTAACGTCGCTTTTGGAAGCCCATAAGAAGAGAAGAGGCAAGCCTGCTGCCGAGAAGAGGGCAAGGCTGCGGTGCAGGAGTAGGCCCAAAGGCGCTGCGGAGGGTTTGAAGGCGCTGCGGAGGGTTTGAAGCCGCGGGGGAGGGTTTGAAGGCGGCGCAAAATGCCTAACGTCGCTTTTGGAAGCCCATAAGAAGAGAAGAGGCAGGTCTGCGATGCAGGAGTAGGCCAAAGGCGCTGGGGGGCTCCCGGCTGACGCAGGCAAGGCTGCGATGCAGGAGTAGGCCAAAGGCGCTGGGAAGGGTTTGAAGTCGCGGGGGAGGGTTTGAAGGCGGTGCAAAATGCGTAACGTCGCTTTTGGAAGCCCATAAGAAGAGAAGAGGCAGGCCTGCGATGCAGGAGTAGGCCAAAGGCGCTGGGAAGGGTTTGAAGCCGCGGGCGGGGGTTTGAAGGCGGTGCAAAATGCGTAACGTCGCTTTTGGAAGCCCATAAGAAGAGAAGAGGCAGGCCTGCGATGCAAGAGTAGGCCAAAGGCGCTGGGGCTGCAGTGCACGGGCTGCACGTTCCAGAGGCTCTCTCCCCAGGCTCCCGCCTGACGCAGGCAAGGCTGCGATGCACGTTCCAGAGGCTCTCTCCCCAGGCTCCCGCCTGACGCAGAGGCAAGGCAAGGCTGCGATGCAGGAGTACGCCAAAGGCGCTGGGAAGGGTTTGAAGCCGCGCGGGGGGTTTAAAGGCGGTGCAAAGTGCCTAACGTCGCTTTTGGAAGCCCATAAGAAGAGAAGAGGCAGGCCTGCGAGCTGCCGAGAAGAGGAAGAGGGCAAGGCTGCGGTGCAGGAGTAGGCCAAAGGCGCTGGGGAGGGTTTGCAGGCGCTGCGGAGGGCAGGCCTGCTGCCGATAAGAGGGCAAGGCTGCGGTTGCGATGCAGGAGTAGGCCAAAGGCGCTGGGGCTGCAGTGCACGGGCTGCACGTTCCAGAGGCTCTCTCCCCAGGCTCCCGCCTGACGCAGGCAAGGCTGCGATGCAGGAGTAGGCCAAAGGCGCTGGGAAGGGTTTGAAGCCGCGGGGGAGGGCAAAACCTGGGAAGGGTTTGCAGCCGCGGGGGAGGGTTTGAAGGCGGTGCAAAATGCCTAACGTCGCTTTTGGAAGCCCATAAGAAGAGAAGAGGCAGGCCTGCGAGCTGCCGAGAAGAGGAAGAGGGCAAGGCTGCGGTGCAGGAGTAGGCCAAAACGTCGCTTTTGGAAGCCCATAAGAAGAGAAGAGGCAGGCCTGCGATTAGAAGAGAAGAGGCAAGCCTGCTGCCGAGGGGTTTGAAGACTTGGCCAACTGCTTCACCCTGCGGTGTCCCAGGCGCCTCCCCGCCTAGGCTTTGGCTATAGGCCGGGGTCGGCGGATTTTTGTTTGATTTGTTCCCTGTTGTGTATATATATATATATATATATACAATTATATACGTAAGTTTAAAAAGGACGCCCAGGGGCCCACGGGGGGCCCACGGGCACTCAGCGACTCACATGTTTGTTCAGTGCGGTTGCTGGATACCAGATGTAGCCTTATTCCGCAAGTCATTTTGGTGGCAGGAGTTGTTTCCTTGTTGCCACCTCTCTTGTGTCCAGTGCCAGAAGCTATGACTCTGCTTCGCACTGGTTTCCATGATCCGTGGGGGTCAGCTTGATCCGTGACTGCATAGGAGCTGATTCAGAAGATCATGAAGATCGAGGTGCGGGAAGCGCTTCCGTCCGTGGAGAAGTCACGAACGGAGCCAATCCTTCCGGATCGCATCTCGATGCGCAGGGCGAAAAGCGAGAGATGTTGAGCGTTCCAAGGCGTAGTGTTTGTTGATGCTTGTTACCTACACCTCCGGTCGCACCGAACACTCAGGTTCGGCATGACTGGACCCTCCAAACTGACACCCAGTCTCACCTTCTCAGAAGGTACGACTGGAGGTCTAGGGGTTAGTATATTGGGCGACTTTAGAGTCGATATTGTCCAAACATCCCTGTGTAGTGTCGTTGTAGTGTCGTAAATTAAGACGTCCCTCAACAGTTGTTTTTTCCCCAAACAGTTTACTGTTAGGGGTTCTCAACAAACTGTTTGGGGTCTACGGTGGTGTAATTAAACACTTCCCCTGGATTGTAGCGGCTATCGTTTTCCTCGAAGAGCTATCCCGTCTGAACAATGTCCCCCGGATTCCCGCGACGGCCTGCGGTGGTCAGAGTCACTCAACGGCGGATGCGCCGAAGCGCAGTGGCTGGAGTCACTGCGGATGGGGTGAAGCACGTCTGAAGTGCAATTCCAAAATCATGTCGACACCGGATCAATCATCCCTCCAGAAGGTTTCGTATTTGGGCTGGGGTACTGTATGTTAGTCCTCGTGTTGGTCCTATGTCGAGCCGTTCCAAATGGATTGGACAGTCACCGACGGTCAACCTGATGATGGATTTCACATTGGACATCACGAAGACGACTTGTACTCTTTGGTCCACCTGCCTGAAGATTCACTTTGCTCCTTTTTGACCAACCTCCAAGAGGCACGTGCCCCCGTGACCCTTCGCTGCCGCATTTCCTGCTTCTGCCAGGTCTGCGTGTTCGGCGGCCGCCGTAACTCGTCCAGTCCGCCCAGGTCTTGCTGCGCCGTTCGCGCGCCTTGGGAAGCTCCCAAGATGCCATCGCTGAGGAGATGAAGGACGCCACCGGTGGGACTGAGCTGAGCCGATTGTGGTAAAAGGACCAAGTTGGAGTTCTGCTGAACTGGTGAAAGATCAGGCAATCGATCCTTATAGTATACAGTGATGGTTCCCCAACAATAGAGCGAAAGACACTCCAAACATCTCCAAACAGCGGATTGTTTTGTCAGTTTATGACTTCATGTTTGCATGTCTATTCACTTGCACCTCCATTGCCCTCGGCTCAATAATCATCGAGGATGTTCTCATCTTCCTGGCCTCACCTGGGTTTGGGAGTTTGAGTGCGTTTAAACACTGGGAGGTAAGATTGGACAAGCCACAAACATGCATTGATTGGTTGATGGATGTATTGAACAACTGACATGTTCAGCTGGTTTTTCGGCGATGAAAAAGCCCTTGTGGGCGGCACGCATGGTTCAGTTGACAAGCGTAAGTAACCACCTAAGAACTGCGTTCGCCCTGTAAACATCCCTGCTATTTCCCACTGGTGGGTGGACTTCCTGGTCCATTCTGTTCATGTTCCGTGGTCCAACCAGGGTCTTCCGTGGTCCACGGCCACGACTCACCACGGCCACTTCGACGAGCTGAGCGGAGTCGACCGGCGGAGTGCGGAGGAGAACCTGTGCCCCTTGCTTCCCCGCATGAGGCTGAGCGCTTTGCTGCATCGCCCATCGGTGGGGCGCCACCGGGGCAATCCACATCAATCCACCATGTGAGGTTGAGGTTTTTTGGGCTGCGATCTGCGCGGTGGCCACTGGGATCCCACAGGAATTCTTGGGGAATTTGACAGAAATTACAAAATTTGGAGGTGATGGGAAGCCATGGCACAAGCAGTTTGAACAAGACCTAGTTCCAGTATGTTCCAGTGACAGGCTCCAAAAGCCCAACATGGAACCATCATGCCATGAAGCTGGGCCATGCAGCCATGCGCTATGCATACAGAGGTAGTGACTGCCACTTGGCTCCCAGAGTGCTGACTGTACAGGGCCCTGCAGTGCTCGATACCAGGGGCTCAAATGCTAAAGAAGAAACCCTCAGGGGCGAGGTGAGGCTCAATACTGAGTGGTTCTTCTGGATAGCTTTGTCAGCAGCAATGGATCACAATGGATCTGTATATGTTTAACACTGGGAAAGAGATGACACGTATAATTGTCATTGAGTGGACTGCTCCATCGCAAAAAGAACTTCTAACTACTCCAGATCCAGCCCTGATTGTTTATAGTGTTTTCTTCTCAAACATTTCCCGGTTCTTAAAACAAGCTTTCCTCCGTGCGTCAGTCCATTCCGTTGATCCAGACCGCAGGCCCCGGCCCCGGTGCGGCGAGGGACACCTCATGAATGAGGTGCGAGACGACCCGGCGGCAATGGACTGCAGATTTCCAGGAGAGGTTGAGAGACCTACTTATGGATCCCTTTTTTTTAGTGGTACAGATGCAGGACATAGGCTTAATTATGGCTTAATAATATAGGATTGTGTAACCTCTCCAGGATGTTTTCTCTTCCCGTCTTCTTTGTTTGTTGAGGAACGTTCGGGATGTCTACATCCTCCAGCATGTGACGGCTGGTAGACGCCTGTGGCATGTGACTTCTGTCATGGTCATGGTCATAGCGTTTAAACAGTGTACTCCCAAATCCCAGGCCGTTGACATGCCAGGCTGCGGTTGAGCGTAACAGGCTGCGTGGTCCGGTGATGGCTCGCTCCTTCCGCGAACACAAGGGCCGGACAAGGGGTCTCAAGGTCCAGAGCTCTTCTGGCTTTCCCAGCAGTCACGAGGGAAGTCGGGGTGCCGAAATTGAAGGAAGTCGCAGGTGTGCCAGCTACTCCACTCACTGGATGGGACGAACCAAACACACCTCCATGTGACTCCTTAGTCGGGTCAGACCGTTTGGCAGAAACAGCTTGGCTGATTTTGAGGTGTCTGGCAGAGCGCCTACAAGCAGGCAGGAGGATCTTCACGTGGGTGGATCTTCACGTGGGTGGACAATCATCGCAGGGGTAGCACTTCAAGAGAGGTTTGGGAGGGGGATTTTGCATGAATGTTCTTTTTGGGGCACAACTGGATGGGACAGGTGATTGATGGTGATTGCTTGTGAGTAAGAAAGCACGTGAAAACACTGAATCTGAAAGGAAACCTCGTGTGGCTCCACGTTTGGTAAACCCCGCCTTCACCAAGCGGAATTTGTTTGGGGGGTGTCCTTTCCAAGCGGAATTTGTTTGGCTCGGTACAAATCGGATGTCAGAGCTCCGATCAGAATCAAATGGCAACTTCTGCAACTGAGGCGGCTCTTTATGGCAAATGGCGAATGACTGCTGATGCTTTTTGCATAACTCATGTGGGTTCAACGGTCCGATATCAAGGTGCAGTTGCAGTTGGGTGTTTCTATGTTCCAATCCCAATGTCTATGATATATATAGAATGTAAATGTTATAAATACCAGGAGTCACAAAGGGGTGCCTATTGGAGGATAGGGGTGCCCTGGTATTATAGTTATATATATATAAGGAAGTCAGCAACAAACAAAAACAAAGACATTTCTAAAACAGAGGGGCGAGGTGGTGAGTAAATACATATCATAATATAATACAATATATATATATATTATGTATACATGCACATAAACTAGTAAGTCGTAAAGACACTCCCACGGTTCTCAGGTCTCCCTCAAACCTCGCTTCGGACGTCGCCTGCAGGTCAGAGGAGTGTTGCTGCAGCTGCGGCCTTGATGCACAGCGCTCCTGGGCTGTAACGGCCGAAAGAGCCTGGTGTCCGATCTCGGAACTCCCACGGAGCAACATGACACAGGTGTTTGATCTCCAACTAGGGGTTCATTCCCAAAGAAGTTGTGAACTCCCATGACCAGCAGTAGATGAGTCTTGTCCAAGATCGTGCCAAGACGCGGCCGAAGAGAGGCCGGACAGTGGTCTTGAGTTTGAAAACAGATGACCCTGGTCCTTGGTGAGGTCCAAACATATTGAATTCAACATGCCCTCAAAGGTTGGACAATTGACCCAGTTTGTTTGTTTAAAGATGTTTAAATGATCACCTTATGCAAGCATTGGGGCAGAGCCCCCATGTTCGACCGCCCACGCAGACAGCAGTGGCCGATCCCACCGTTTCGGACCGGACCCGAAGCCGCTCCAGAGCGGTCCAAGGTTCGACCTGGCGGTCCTCACCTGCAAAACCTCCACATTGGGGATTGGGGATGGTTTTTAACCCCACTCAACATGAAGAAAAAGGAAAGAGCTCGCTTCCCAAAACAGCTGGTCAACCACACAGAATCACGATACTTTGTGAATACCAGGACCATCCTGTTTGGGTGTCCTGGCTGGACCACCCTGCACTACGACCCAGGATCTCCAGACAGGACACCCCTTGGATGGTCCAGGTACGTTGATTTTCTATACGTGATGGCTTCGGCTTCGGATAATGTTCAACCTTGACTTGAGATGATGTTGTTCACCCACAGACTCATAGTTTTCGATCGTTCCTGGGTTGAAAGCATCAACCAGTTTGGTGTGTTTCTCCGCGAAGGTCGTATGGTCCTGTGACCTTTCAGCTGTTTCGTCCTCCGAGGCTTCTTGAGATCTGCCCGGCCGGAGGCCCCAGAGGCCGCAGTGCCTCCGACCTGTGTGGTGCCTCCGACCCGGGGTCCGATGCCGCCCAAACCGTTGTGGTGCTGGACGAGTGGGACCTGTCGTATACCCTGGGGGGGTGAGTTGGTTCAACAGAAAAGAACCATTGGAGATCAGATGTCACAGATGGGATGGAGACTGGAGACTGGGAGGTCAGACGTCTGGAAAATCCCTGAGTCGACTCAGGTTCGTCATTGTTCCGTGCCAAACTATACGAGTACTCAAAAGTGGACGACATGGACTTGTATACTTCCACAGAACAGGAAAGGGTAGAAGCCTGAGGGGTCATGGGGGAGCCATGTATGTCACTCTTCCAATCCCATGATGGATGCTTTGTACTTCCTGCGTACGTAGCACCGCTCGTCGTGGTATGGTGTGAAGCTGGGCTGAAGGCTTTGTCAGCGTCAGAGACCTGAGCTAGTCAGGGCCAAGAGCCCACAACAAATCATCGCAAATCAGCCAGGTTTTCCATCAGACCCATGAGTTTGAGCAATCGGCAAACAGAACGAACAGGCATATTTCCACCTGACATCTTCCTCTGGTTTGAGGATCTCCAGCGTATCATTTTTGGTGCCAAGTGGCTTTAATCAATGCCACGTCCCAATGGCCATAGAACCTCAGATTCTGCTCCAAATCTGGGGCATGTGACCTCTGGCAGGCAGCCTGTGCTGCCATTGGGAAGCACGTGACCATATGCAACCCAAACCGAAGGCGTCATAAAATTCGAACCCAGCGTCAGCGTGGAACATTGATGTTTTGATCTCATCTTTCCCGCCTCAATACTATCCAGTTTGGAGGGTCCAGTCATACCGAACCTGAGTGTTCGGTGCGACCGGAGGTGTAGGGTATGGCCACCTCAATGATCTTCATTGCCGGAAGGTGCAGACCTGCCACCTGCCACAGCCGCCACCGTTCAGACGCCTCACACCGATCGTCAATTTCGCTCTGCCTCACCAGGTTGGCGACCCGTGACCCGGCGGGATGGAGACACCGGGGAGACAGCCCAAAAACCGAAGGCAGTCATGATGGCTTAATTTGGAAAGAGTGCTTAAGTTTAAACCCTTCTGAGAAGGTACTTGGATCCCTAGGGAAAAGCAGTTGAAAAGGAATGGCACACCCAAACATATAGACTCATCGGAGAGCAGATCGGAGCGGAGGCACGACATCTCTGAAGGTAGGTCAACCCAGGTCGACCTGGGCTTTGACCCCACAGCCACATATTAACAATGAAATTGGGAACCCTGCGCTATCCTGCAGAGTTACAGAAAGACAAAAACGCAAGGACTGCAAAGGACTAGACCTCCTCGAGTGGGTATTGAATTCAAAGGACCATTTGCTTTCTGGGGATTTGAGACGAACAAAAATGTGTGTGATGTGTGTATTTTGGGGGAACCATGTATGTCGTGTTTTCGGAAGGACTAATGTCAAATTGGAATGATACAGCGCGTCACGATCCAAGTTGCCAATGGCTTTATGCAACACGCATAGATCACATAGCTTCAGCAGAAGTGGGGAGGATAGGCAAACCATGCAGGGCCAGAGGCCAGAACATTCCGCGTCCTTCAAGTTGATGGCAATCAAATTGCTTGGAAAGGTAGGGCCTAATGACCTAATGGAACCAATGTTTTTGGACCACGGCGTCGCACTTCTGCCTGCACAAACCCATCGATTTGCATGCAGGGACAGCCTTTGATTATGTTCCAAAGCGGAAGAGCTTTGATCAATCAGTGACAGCTCAATTGCTATATATGTGCAAGGGGTAGGTTTGGCGCCTTTGGCAGGCCATTGCAAGCCAGACAGACTCTCTCAGTGTCCACGCGCTGGCGGGGAGTGGAGCGATATTGGTGATAGTCTCAGTGATAGTCATCGTGCATTGATTAATGTTGATGATGTAGAAGTATTTTGTGCTTTGTTCTCTGTTTGTCGAGGTCCTTGTTGCACACAACAAACAGGTCGACTCATTGTCAGCGCTTGCACTGGAGTTGGGCGGAGCATTCATGATTAACCTTCAACAAGAAACCATTCTGCACACCTTGTAAGGGTGGAGAGAGGCGCCTGGGATGGTCTGCCAAGATGGTGGTCCTCCGTGCAAAAAAATGAAGCAGCGATTAGAAGTGTGAAGATCTCAGCTGCGCCTGAACCGCCACACTCCGATTTAAATTAGAAGAGGTGGCATCTGTCAAATTTAGATTAGAAGAGATGGAATCATGACAGATTCCGGCATACACGCAAGATGTATACTTAATCTCAGAGATGATGTCACAAATATGAGAAACATAAGATGAACAAAAAGGTCGATGCCAACTGCGCCTTGCTCAATTCGCTGTTGAGGAGCCATTTGTTGCATTGTATAATCCTACTCAAGATTATTTGCCAACATCGTTCCCCAAAAGTTCCAACATATATAACCGCCTGTAACACCACCGCATACTGTACAGAGTTTCTTGTCCATTGTTGAGATTCACCTGCACACCGGATACATCGAACTGTGTGCGGGTCACTGTCTTTCTTACACCAAGGGTTGGATCTGTCCGGTAAATGGTGCAAATCCCAGCTCTTTGCCAAACCAACACATACCAAAATTTACACTCTAATAGAGCACTCCCCTTGTAGAACGAACACCCCATGACTCAGCGACCGCATTGCTTGAGAATAAAACTCACACCATTCAAAGGCAGCAATGTTTTTGGACCACGGCGTCGCACTTCTGCCTGCACAAACCCATCGATTTGCATGCAGGGACAGCGTTTGATTGTGTTCCAAAGTGGAAGAGCTTCGATCAATCAGTGGCAGCTCAATTGCTATATAGGTGCAAGGGGTAGGTTTGGCGCCTTTGGCAGGCCATTGCAAGCCAGACAGACTCTCTCAGTGTCCACGCGCTGGCGGGGAGTGGAGGGATATTGGTGATAGTCTCAGTGATAGTGCGTTGATTAATGTTGATGTTGTAAAAGTATGTTGTGCTGTATTCTCTGGAGGTCCTTGTTGCACACAACAAACAGGTCGACTCATTGTCACCGCTTGCACTGGAGTTGGGCGGAGCAATCATGGTTAACCTTCAACAAGAAACCATTCTGCACACCTTGTAAGGGTGGAGA